CTATAAAAGCATGTATATATATATATACTTTTACATAATTACATTTTTTAATACTTTTCCCGCCTCTGATGTATATAAAATGTTTAAATTTTGGGTCGACCTGTGGCCTGGTGGTAACTGGATGGGACTCATTTTCGGAGGAACAGTGCTTGAATCCCACCATGCTGTGGTGTGTTGTTGCATCTCTGGATATTCCTGCTTGTTTTTCAAAAGCAACTCTCACATATATATATATATTTGTTTGTGTTATGAATCTAAATTACGGATGTATAATAAAAAAACACTATATAATCTACATTATTGTTCACTGAGATACAATCATCTTTTTTTTTTTCTGCGTCCTCAATACAGAAAAAACTGAACCCACTGAATGTGACCCCATCCATCCGGGCAGTGGACAGGGACGAAAACATTCAGCCTCCATCAGCCAGACCTGGCATTCTTTACTTCATCCTCATTGGTAGGTTCATTACCAACCTCATAGACAGTTATTGGTCTGTCGTCCACATAATAGTTGATGTAATTTGACTCTTGTTGTTTGATTTCTTTTCCCAGGCTCCCCACGCACGTACTCAGAGTATTTTTCCCTGAATAAAACCACAGCAGAGTTGCTGGTTCTTCAGCCCATAAGCAGAGATCTGTACCAGAAATTCACACTTGTCCTTAAGGTAAACAAATATAATGTACTTTTCTACCATACGAACATCACTTCTTCACTCTTCCACGAAGGTGACGTGACGACAGGATGTGTTGTAAATAACTCCGATGGATTGAAACTTGATTAGTTAACACGCATAACATGAGGAGCCAGTGCGCCAATAATTTCGCGATGCAACGAATATCGTGTCAAGCGATTAATAGCATTAATCTGTCACAGTGTTTTGGGGGAATTTTGTATTCATTTTAATTTGGTAAACTTAGCCCAGTGTGAGACGTGTACTCAGAGACCGTTCTTCAATTATGGAAGGGCAAACATCTCAACTCTCCCCCAAGACTATGAAGTAAATGCTCTTGATCAAGTTGAACACAAACTTAAGCATGCACCCTTCCCTGCTCCATCCAGATAACCACAGTCCTGAGGTCCATTAACCTTATCTGGAGCTCCTGTGAAGATGGGGCTGGAAGGATATTATGATTTATGGACTTAGCTGGAGGAAAGGCTACTGCACTCTCATGAATCCTAATTTGGAGCAGAGTCAGGTGTTGCTTCTTGGTCGCTACCACTCCGGCAGCAGTGCAGGCAAACTTACTATCTCCTCATCAGTACTTTCTGAACACCTCTGAGCGCTGTGTAACATGCTGTTTACCAGGAGACACGAGGTGTACGGCAGATTATGGGAGGAAGCTAGGACTTGATCAACTTTTACATGTTTGGAGTTTGAAGTTGGGCATAGCCAGAAGTGGACAGCCGGTTGGGGGTTAAGTGAGGTGACGGTTAGGGACAAAAACTAGGATGGAGAGTCTTTTAAACCATTACCTTGGGTGAAATATGTGTTATACAACATGACTCTCTACAGTCTGTGTAATGTCATTAATGTAGTCTTTCCCGAACTTTATTTTTGGGCACCCATATTTTAAAAGTCAGATACCTTCGCAACCCAAGTCAATAGACATTATTCGCAAACCCCTGGGAAACATGATGCAAGATGACCCCAAAAAATGTCTCTTGCGACCCACCTGAGGCTCGCGACCCAGTCTTTGGGAAACAATGCTTTAATGTATGTGCGAGAGAATTGTTCCTGCCGATCAGTCAGTACTCTCCCTCACCTCAAAGGGGCATCTGAAGGTCAAAATTTAATTTGTGCTGCACTCATCTCTATACTTTAATCTGTTTACAGTAAATATGAATTACTTAGACACAAGAAAGGTGCTCTGTACATGTGTATAAAGAAACGTTCTCCGTAGGACAAATATGTTCCTGTGTATATGTTTGTGTTGGTGTAAGTGTCATTGAAAGAGGAATGCTGATTGGATATAAAGCATTAGCAGGTGCATGCTGTTGGATGGATAGTGAAATAAGATGCTCTTTTCGGTTCTTACAGTTGTAAATCTGACTCCAGAGAAGTCAGTGCCTCACCAGCCATGAACCTCACCGCACATCACTGGTTCACCTGATGTCATTGCTAGTCCATATTGAGCTTTATTCATCAAGATGACCTTGATTTACCTGACAAGTACCAGTAGGGCAGTACAAGATCATACAGATGATAAAGATACAACAACAGATAGATATTTCTACAAAGGGACTCTTTAGTAATAGCTCATCTCTTCCTGCTCTGTGTTTGCTAGAAATGGAGTGCATGTCAATTAGTCCAAGTTCACAGGAACAGCTAAGAGTTAAATCGCAAGGGAACACTGTAATCCCACACCCTGTCTGTTCTCTGTGGGACACAAATGTTTGTGCGTACGTGTTGAAGAAAAAGGATACTCAGACTCACACACACACACACACCTTTAGTCTGCCAATGATGGCGTTTCTCCCTCAGGTGTTGGAGTGAGAAGATTGCATCTGCGGGTTAGCACAGTGTGGGTGTTCTTATCACACGAATAAAGGAGGAAAAGGAACTGGAGATGAGTTTGGTGAAGGATAGTCTGGCATCACACCAACAACAGCAGCAGCAGCAGCCCTGGAACAGAGCTGGGTCTTTTTAAAAAGTGCACAATCATGTTGTCTGCACAAATGAGGGGGAAGTCAAATCAGGTCCAGGTTTATTCACTACACATGGACTCCAAGGCATCTGGAACAACTTTAACAAAGTTTTATCAGTATTATCTCATCAACATTTTCACATTACAATTCGATCATTTCTTTTTTTTTTTAACCCTCGGAAATGCACAATTTTGAAATCAGAGCAGTCAAACATTATTTAAAGTAATCTTGGAACATTTTAAAATTGGTCACTATATTGATTTAAAACAACACAATGAAGGAATTGACTTGTTGCAAAAAATGCTACTCAAACAAAAGTGTCAATATTTGTTCTTTATTCATACACAGTGGTGTGGAATGTTTGTTTTTGTTTTTCAATTCAAGCAAATAACCAAAAGGATGCAAATATTTTAATTTACAATTGTCACTAATTCTTTAGTTTTGCTGGATAAATATATATATATATATATATATATAATACCTTATTTGTAATACCTTGAGATACGAGCGTTCCGACATATGAGTATTCCGAGGTACAAACAAACCTTCGAGCACATTTTTGCTTCGAGATAACGCTGTGTGATGTTCGTCGACTTCCGTACGCATCTCCCGAGCGAGTGGCAAGGATGCTAGTGAGAAGTAGAAACGCATGATGCCCATGGAAATAAAGCTTGAAATTGTCGATAAATATGAGCGCGGTGCCCGCTAAGGAAACAAACACAAATTGAAAAAAGCAAACAAACAAATAAATAGAAGTTACGTGGTGTACGTGTAAAATACGGTACGGTATGAAGTGTCTGCGTACCGGCCAACCCTCGTCCCTCTCTTCCTCATTTCTCCTCCTCCGCACATGCCGCCATTAGCCGATACTGTATCGTCTGTCTCGAAGGTAAGAACCCATAGTTAAAACCACATTTTATTTTATATCACAGGAATTCTTATATAGTAGAATTTTTTGTGCTATTAAAAACAAGTTCTCCATTGTTATTAGCACTAAAAAGGGAGTTTTTTAGAGGGCCGTTATTTCTTATGGGAAAAATTGATTTGTGACAAGAGCACCTCGAGTTACGTCCTGTAACGGATTATGCTCGTATCTTGAGGTTCCACTGCATGTAAATAAATATATACTTTATACTTTTCTGTAAGATGTCAAGACAGTCATCCAGTAACTGTGGTGACTATATTTGGATTACTGGGACTTTTTCTAGTATTAATAATTACTTTTGTTACTGCTTCTTTGAATACCCTCCACGCTTCTCCCACAATTACCACTCTGCTTTGTTGATATAAAAATGTTTTACTAATTTTTAAACTTATATGAGATATTCTCACAAGGTTACCCTCGACACGGATACCTGGTTTAAATGTTTTTTGCTGTGAACCTGTATTTCCCGTGTCTGTTTTTGGTTTTTAATCTACTTTGTCACTGATTTAAAACAGCAAAATCCATTATAAATGTTTGGAACCAAAGGGAGTAAAAAAAAGGCCTGACCAGGACACGAAAGAAATGCTATCTGCTGTTGTTTATCATTAACTATGCCCAGAATATATAACTACATTTCCTCCAATCATTGGTCAACCATTTCTCCAAGTACCAGGAAGGCTAATTGTTGTACAAATCACAGTGTTCCCTTTAAGTGCTCTGGTAATTACCGAGTCTTAATCCTAAATGCATCCCTGATTAAATTGAGTCAGTGCACGTTGTGGTGTAATTAAAATGGCAATCAGATGTTTCAGACCGTCCCTGTGTTTTTGGGAGCACGGTGTCGAGGTGGGCTACATCGAAAGGTTAATTTTGAGATTACAAGGTTTTTCTTTCTCTGCTGCAATGGATTTTTTAAACACAGCAGTAGGAACAGAGTTTGTTGATTAGCACACCTCCCATCTCTGTTTGTTACCCCTTCCCTGTCGTGTCGTGTTTCTTTTCAGACATGAAAAGCATGCCGGGGAAAAGAGAGAGCGCTCAATGACAACGTTATGGCAGTTGTTCCTTTGTATCGCCTATTTCTGTCTCAGTTTCAGACCTAACCTTGGATAAAAAGTGTTTTAAGAACACCACCCATAAAGACTGAAGGAGAAGGGAGAGTTTATATAGCAGCTGCCTCTATACTGCCTCTGCAAAACAATATCTGTGATATTTGTTTATAGAGACAACATGTAAAGATAGCATCCATGGGTCAGAGATTACACTCTGACTGTTGTTTATTTATTTATTTTGCCGCTTTTATAATTTACACTCTGACTGTTGTTTATTTATTTCTTTTGCCGCTTTTATAATTTATAATAAGATGAAAATCCTCAAGAATTCAAGGCTCATTCAGGATGACTTCACTTTTTGTGCCTCACTTTTACCTGTCATTTATCACATTTATTACGGAAGCAAATGCACGATTAGGTTGTGCTACATTCACTTTGTTTAATTTGTTTTTGGGAATTTTTTTTTGCCCTTTATTATGGCTCCCAGGCATACGTCAGTTAATTCTGCTGTTTTTATGTCCTAGGTTATGTTACCACTGTGTTAGTGTAGGTGAGTGACATAGGTACTGATGTACAGTACATGAGTTTCCATCTATCCATCTACCTACCTACCAACCAGCCATCCATTATATCCTTTATAGACCAGTGTTTCCTAAACTTTTTTTCTGGGGACCCATATTTTAAAAGTCACAAACCTTTTGCGACCCAAGTCAATAGACATATAGACATAGACATAATATCCGTAAACTCCTAGGAAACATGATGCGAGATGACCCAAACAAAAAACTGAGGGTTGTGATCCAGTCTTTGGGAAACAATGTTATAGATAGAGTGCATTTCAGAGTGAAGGTTAGTTAAACATACTGTATACTTATTAATAAAAACCTCTTTAAATAATTAGATAATGAATGATTCCCGTTGCAGATCAGGGACATATTTGACATGTATTTGAGGACTGTAAATGTTGACCTGTTTTGAGATTACAAAACATCACCTGCAAGTGGCTCCAATAAGCTGTTTGTCTAATAGAAAGACGGATGACACAGGAGTTAGGGCTCTGTTAATCATTGGTGAATTGCTTTTATCACCTAACCCATTATTAACCTCCCAATAAATTTTCACTGGACCGTCTTATCGGTGTAAAGACTACGTGTGTGTCTCTTGTCTTCTGCCTTCCTCCAGGCTGAGCAGGACAACGGTCACCCCCTTCCGGCCTTCGCTGACCTCGTCATCGAAATCCTGGACGAGAACAACCAGGCGCCATATTTCCAGTTCGTCACGTATCAGGGCTACGTGAGCGAGTCCTCCCCTGTCGGTACCACCATCTCAGCCAGCGCCAACCTCAGCTCCCCGCTGAAAATCATTGCTCTGGATAATGACATCGAGGAGGTAGAGTAAACACAGAGCTTCTCATCAGCCCACCTTGAGTTTTTTTAAACAGATTTGTTTTGTGCATTCGTAGAAAGAAACTTGAAAAGAAAAATCAACTAATCAACACATCTGTCAATTCTGTTTTTCCTGTTGTAGCTGGTTCCTGGTGATACACCTGTAGGTAAAAGGGTTGTTTGCTGACACACGCACACACGCACACACCACTGTGGGGATGTCCAGATCAAGTCTTAATTTTTTTTCTTTAAAAATTTTCTAATTTAGAAAAAAAAAATCATATTAATTACTCAAAATACTAAGCTGTTATGTTGGAGGCCACCAGCAGGGTGTGTGGTCATCTAGGTCAAAATTTTGGAAGTTTAATAGATTCTGCCAGTGGTGTCAGGACAAGGTCACGCTCCTTATTTTGTCACATCAACTCCCTATTCAGGTATTCTGCCAAGCTACTGTACATACTAGAATTTTCCGGCAGTCAATTAGAACCGAAGAAACTTTTTACGAATGAGTACTGTAGTTTTTTCCGGCAGTCAATTAGAACCGAAGAAGCTTTTTACGAATGAGTGCTGAAACGTCTTCTAATGATAATCTAATTAATAATTAATTAAGTCTCTTATTCCTTACAATCGGATAATTCAAAGTGTAAGTCTTTGCAACACTCACAGGCTGCAACGGGGGGCGCCATCAAGTATGCGGTTCCTATAGGGATATGTACTGTAGTTCCTCTGGGGCTCGAAACCCAGGGCGTTCTGTGTGTAAGGCAGACGTGATAACCGCTGAACTATGGAGCCACCAGTTCTCGAAACCAAGTCAAACCAGTCGTGTATTTCTTAACCCCTTTCCACAAAATGACTGGGAAGTTAACGCAGACATTATCTCAATTACCAGTCATTACTAACCGTTAGTCGTTATAGAAACAACAACCATACCATCTCATTGGTTTTTACCTGATCAGCGGACATTTCAATTACAGAGATTTTGTACAAGAAATATAACAAACCATTCAAATAAATTCGTAACCGAATGTGTTCATTTTATTTTTTTAGTAGTTTCAGTGCGAATAATGCATTTTATAGTAATGGGTAAACAGACATGCTAACGCAGCGGGGTAATGACATTTCAAAATGCAGAAAATCTAAAGTCTAAAACTCTGTCAGTTTTAGTCGACCGTAACCTGTTCCAAATTTGACACACATTCAAACTTGGATTTTCCGCAGTTTGAAATGTTATTTAATTCAGAAATGACATCATTTTCTGTCCGTGGCAGATGGAAGTGAATTGACTTGGTTTGTTCAGGATTCTGTGTCGAGAGTTCTGTAAAAAACAACAGTTCATGGTTGTCAAAAAAAGAAGAAGAAATAAACAAGACTAACTGCAGAAAAAAAAAAAAAAGAAAAAAGAAGAAATAAACAAGACTAACTGCAATTTATTTCTCACAGCCTTTAGTGTAATCCATTTAAATGTTTCATTTAACACATGCATGGGCAAACATGCAGCCCGTTCAGCTTTATATTATCATTATACCTCTGCCTTTTCCCTGCAATACCCACATTTCCCTAATAGATGGCATAAAACACGATGATAGCATTTTAGCCTTCATTTATCTTAGTTCACACGTTTGCACGATCTATCTGCTCCTGACCCGACCCCGTTGCTCAATTTTAGGATAATTGTGGCCCACGAGTCTAAAAGTTTGCCCACTTGTTTTGATTTAACACGTCCAGTGGACGCGCAGCTCAGAGGAAACCGATTGTGTAAATAATACTAATGAATTAGCACATTCATTGTTGTGGTGACCTTTAGTAACTTGCTTGTTTTGTTGTCGTTCGTTCCTTAATAACACCAGCCGCGGCTTCGACATCGAAATGTCTTGACAGCTTACACGCCGCCAAGTCGAAACACTTCCCAACAAACATTTACGTGATTCTTAAATTTGCTGTTCAGATTGTCGGAGGACATCCCTACACTTGTGACGTCATGCTGTGAAAAGTAGAAACAAAAGCACTCATCAATGCCGGAGATGTCTTCGCCCCAGAAGGTTACTTTTTAAACAAGTCTCTTTTAAAGACACACACAAAAAAACTATTTGTGTATGTAAACACACTTACTCAAAATGCCATTAGCAGCCAGTTAAATACTGAGCAGATCTCCTGTAATGATGTGTGCTAACATGGATTAATGTGGCCAATAAAGCCAACCTTCCTGCTCCAACGAGTGTTTTGCAGTGCTGTGTCTCCTGTCGGGCTAATTGGTTTTTCTTCTATTGTTTTTTTTTCGTTGCATGAGTTCCAATATTTTTCCGTTCTCTTCCAGTTTTTCTTTTTTCAATTGAATAATTTCCTGTGGAAGTATTTGGAGTGTGGAGCAGAGTTTGCCGTTTGACACAGTTGTTAGGATTGTTGGAAGGAATGTGTTCCTACAACACAGTGGTAAAGAAGCATTACCATACCGGAACTGTTGCCATAAAAAGAATTTAGATCATCAGAGCACATGGTCTCACACTTTAAAATACCGGTTTGCTCCATCTTTGGTGGAGATTAACAAATCAAAGAGGAGTGCAAACAGAGATAACAAAATCAATAAGGCGCCCAGTCATGTTGTTTACCAAAACACTGTTGAGAAGACTCATTGATGGACGGGAATCGAACCAAAGTCACAGACTAGACAACAATAGACTCCGGTTTATAGGCAGTGGAACTACATCAGTGATCACCTATCTTTGATAACCAACCTTTTTTTAAAAAAAAAAAAGCTTTTAGCATCCTTGATGACAAGCTGTCGCACCCTTTCTTTAAAAAAAAGGTGATTTGATTTTATTTTCTCTTCAAAAACAAGGACAAAATCACTAATTACTGCTGTTTTTTAAGCTTAACTTTTTGTTTTTCTGTTGTGATTACTTTTTTTTTTCTCTCTAACCCTAACGGTTGTCAGTGTTCTCTGATAATGTGACTCAAATTAGCCAACCAATTCGTTTTTCAATCTTTGTCAGCTCAAGTGTGTTGTTGGGTAGTTTGTTTTCAAACCTCAGTTATGGCCTTGATGGTTAAAAATGAAGGAAACTGTTGTTCCAATTGTGATTTTTTTTTTCTTGGTATATCTGTGTTTGATAGACGAAAGACCCGATGGTGACGATTACCCTGAATGACTACACCGCCGTCTTCACTCTGACCCCCTCTGGATTAATCCGCTACCTAAGGCTTCTCCAACCTGTGGACCGGGAGACTCAGATGGCCTACACTTTCACGGTAGAGTTCGGTCGTGTTTTTATTTAGGAAAATAATAGGTCAAATGGGCCACAGTAATATTTCAGTCGAGTTCTAGTTCTTCAAGGATGAGTACATTGGATATGTACTGTATATGCAGTACCTCAGGGTTCCATTTTACTGCAGTTATACATTTATATATTGAATCATGTGTCCTCTAAGACCTCGCTTCTTGAAAACTATTTGAGAAATTGGTTAAAAAAAACATGGAGAACAGAGTTATTAGGGAACAGCTGAACCAAATATCTCAACCAATCAAATATTAATAAGATATATAGATATTTCCAATAACCACTGATTCGTCTGACCTTTTACAGGGGTCGACCAGATGTACAGAGGACATCTGGTCGACCCCTCTACCTGTCTCATCAGTATGAGGAGTGGAGCTTTCAGTCCCTATTCGCCCCTGCTTTGGAACTCATAACCACCTGACATATAGAACATTGATTTCGTCTCCCATTTTAAACCTGAACTTTAAACTAACCTTTGTGCAATTACCTACTCCTCTGGATTTTTTTTAGGATATCTTGGCCTACACTATTTTTAAAATCTATTCAGATTAACATAGTTCTTTTGTGCTTGAAAAGGCACCTTTAAAGTCTAAATTATTTGTATTATTTATTCATTCAGTATCTACTGCATAATCTTTTCCCAGTATCAGCGAGCTGCAGCCAATCCCCAGTTGGCAGTGGGCGAGGGGAGGGGGACAACCTGGACAGGTCACTAGTCCATCCCTGAGCCACAACCATTCACCACTCGCTCCCACATGTGGTCAATTTACAGTGTCAGACCAACCGAATACCAGAATCTCCCTATATTTTCATTTATTTTTATTTCATTTTATTTGTATTTAATTATTTATTTTAATTATTTAATTCATTTTTTAATGAAAGTGTTTTATTTACTTTTTATATTTTTTTAAATGTATTTTTTATACAGAGCAATACAGTAAATATTCATAATATAAACATGAACATAAAATAATGCGTTGCTAACAGACAGCTGTGTCTCTCAGATAGTTCAAGGTGGTAATTACATGGTGACGATACAACTATGGATCCAAAAAAACATAGCTGATTCACAATGTTGGGGCGGAGAACTTCATGCTAACTGTATATGAGTTCCATAGTGGAGAAGTTTGAAAACTCTGGTTTAACAAAAATGGCGGAGACCATACTACTTGTCAGAGTGTTGCCAATTCAGCTATTTGGTGTGCTACGGTTAACCATCTTCATCTTTTCTCTTTGGTTTTGTTTAGCTTTATATGGATTTTCTGTGGCTTCTTTTCCAGTTTTCCGAACTTTTGTATGTTGCGTGGTTGCCATAGCGCCGCACACAGGCCTGACATGTGTACTACATGGACTGGAGTCGTATTCAGCAGCTTGGTTTAGGGCTAAATTCTCTTGCGCCAGATCAGGGGGGTCAAACTCATTGTGGTTCAGGGCCCACATGCAGCCTGATTACATGTCTAGTGGGCCAGACCAGTACAATCATAAGATAATTACAAATAAATAACATGTTTTTCTCCTTTGTTTCCATGCAAATAAGTAAAGTGATATCAGAAAATATTCATATTTTATGACATAATTTGTCAAAACATCACAAACAGGAAGTGTTTGTGGATTTTTTCACTATTGAAATACTTAAAGTGGGCCGGATTGAACCCCCTTAGCGGGCCAGTTTTGGCCTGAGGGCCGTATGTTTGACACCCCTGCGCCGGATCCTCGTAAACGCACCGCATCCGTGGGCTCCGTAGTCGTAGCAATTGGTTACTAGTGATGGAAAACCTGTGCCGTTGTATGATGCTGAATACACACACAGCATTATCTCACTCACATACACACAGCAATGCTCCGTCTCCCTCACTCAGTCACCACCTCATTGGCACAGACATCCCAGCTCTGCTGTACTCGTTCGCACTTGTCATAAATACACATAGACGTAGATTTGCCACAGAGGCAGTTAACTTGACTAATTATGGGACAGTAATCCTCCGTTTCCTCCTAAATGTCTCCAGAGGATTTTTGTTTTTGTTCCTGTGTGGCTTCTGTAGAAGAATTGTGTGCTAAGAAAGTATCGTTTCCCTTTCTAAAAAAACAAAAAAATACAAGCAAAAAAAAAACAAAAAACACATTGATGCGCAAAACTGCTTTTGCACCACAATTACCCATTAGACACAGGGTAAAATAATGACAGGATAATGTCCTGATCCTGTCTGCTGATAGTGACGAAGGTTTCTTTTTTTCAGTGATTTTCTGCACAGCCAAGGCGCCACAAACAACCAGTGTGTGGCACCAAGGAAGAAAACACATTGAAAAACACTGACAAGAGTTGTCACTTTTTTTTTTAATCTCTTTCTCATTCCAGTCTCGGCAGATTCCGAATAATTTTAGCTCCCCTGAAAGGTGCGCCGAGCGGTGCAGACTCAGCTCAGGCTGACGAAATGAAGTAACGTTTGTCAAAATCAGTGCAGCGTTTTTTGTTTGCGTTTGTGACAGACCAAAGAGATGTTTTAAAGCGTCGGCGAGTTTAAACTAATGAAACCGGGGGCTCGGGTATTTTTACTTTTTACTGTAATAAGAGTGATGCTTCCACAATAAATACCCACGGCCACCTCTGCGGGAACAGGGACGCTCGAATAATGAGGTGACAAAAATTTTGCAGTCGCGATAGAAGATATGTATAGTGTAGAATATTTAGAAGTAATTTGTGACAGGAAGGCGACGATTTTTATTACACGTGTGACAGCGGCGAGGCCAGCTGTGATGTATGGATTGGTGATGATGAGCGTGCCTTTGCTGATAATGAAGACGGAGGAGGAGCTGAAGATTCCAAAGTCTAGCGTTTTTCCAAAACCAGATTGGACAGGATGAGGACGAAGCCCTTGCGAAATATTTGGTTACGAAGCCGGAGGGAGATACGATGATGAGGTTGTTAGGTCGTTCTCCAAGAGAAATGTGGAAGAAGACTGTAGGAAACGGTAGGGCAGTGGTAATCAACTCGCGGCACGCGGGCCAAATCCGACACATGTACCCATATTTTAAAAATCACAGACCTTCTTGACCCAAGTCAATAGACATTATTCGTAAAACTAAGAATCTCTTGCGACCCACCTTGAGGTCGCGACCCAGTCTTTGGGAAACAATGCCCCCCAGAAAATCGATGGCCCTCTGACAGATATAGTTGATGACCTAGCTGTAGGGCATCGTAAAAAAAGGCTGTGATGATCGTCTTTTAAGACTGATAGTATTACATGATGTATGTTTGGAGCTACACACGCCTTTAGGGCAAAAATAGAAGCGAGCGTAGAGTGCTACAGAAGGAAGGACGACAGGTGGGTTTGAAGGGACACATTTTCTCAAACAGTCTCTATTTATATATATATATCAACACTACCTTCCAATTTTCCACGAGAAGTATTTTAGTAGGATTTGGCATTCACTAGGCGTTTCGGTACTGTTACTTTGACTTATTACTGTCTGGATCACCAGACTGTTTTCTTGATACTTGCTCAGAGGGATGTCAGCATCTGGGGAATTACAGTGGCTGCCTCCGTCACTCAGGATTCACTTGGATTAGTGAGCATTATCAAATCATCAGTGAGCTCTGTAGGGACGGTTCCCGGAGTGCACGGGGATGATCCCGTTCACTGTAGTCCCGGATTTTTATCCCAGTTTGTTTTGGCTGCCGCAGAGGCTGCTGTGGCACACTTGACAAGTTGATATGTTTACACCATGTGTGCTGAGCTGAGCCACTTTTTTTTTTTCTACCTCATTTTACAAGGTTTGACAGTGAAGCTTAAACCTCTGCCACATTTTGTACCAGGAAACTACTACTGTCGTGATCAGAAATTACACTTCCACTCTGAGTTATAAGGTGGTTTGACATCGTGTCTTCACTTTTGATACAGACAGTCAGTGAGTCACCCAAAATTATTTTTACATTTTTTTACACTTAGAAGTGTTATTTCCACAAATTCCACTTCCGGCCGGCGAAACCCACCCAAAATTTCAATTTTAAAATGATCTCATGTTGCAGACATGCAAAATGTAATTTTTTTTATATTTTTGGATTGAGCATGCTCAACTTATTAATTCATTATTGCAGCTGCAGTAACAACTAGGGATGGCTTGATACAAGTTTTTCAAGTATGATACCGATACCAGTACTGCAACTTGGAGTATCTACTAATTCTGATATCACTCCGATACCTTATTTTCTCCTCCAGCATTGCTAAGTCGATACTGTCCCTGATTACAGTATTTTACGCTGTAGGCTGTTTTTTTTTTTTTTCAGTGTTGGATCCTGAAATTATAAAATTAGAAATAATATTGGACTGATACCAATCCAAAACCTTCTTTTCTCCTTTACTATGCCGTTGCTATGGTGATAGTGTACCTGTTTACGGCATGTTGCGCAAAATTAAGTTGAGCATTAGGGCTTACATATGAAATCAAACTATAGTTGTTGTTTTTTTTCCATCTTTGAGCCTGAATTTTTGACCAATATTTGGCTGATACTGATTCTGACTGATCAGATCAAGCCATTCAAAATACAATATAATTTAACATTTAAAGATAAAACCACCCATTGTAAACCAATTACATTGTGACTAAACCTTATATGAGTATAAAAAATGTTTTATGTTGCTGAGGCGCTTCTGCTCAGAGGCTCTGTCTCTGTGATGTCAGAGACCTGGGTTCGCGCTTCTGCTCAGAGGCTCTGTCTCTGTTTGTGATGTCAGAGACCTGGGTTCAAATCCTTGTGTGGCGATTGTCACACAAGAAATTTAGCGCCTCGAAGGGGCAGCCTGTTACAGCACATCTCCTGGTAACACAAGAATCAATAAAGTTCACCAAAAAAAAGCAATTATAGCATGATATCTGTCATCGCAAGACATCAGCAGGTTGCGCTAATATGCAAAAACTAGCCATCATTAGATTAATACTCCTAAATGACCTGGATGAGTCGATATTTAATATTCTTATGTAATATTCATTCTTCGTTGAGAGAAATCCATTTTTAAGCATTTCAGCACAAAATTAGTGCCAGAAAACGTCAACTCATCCTGAGAGTGGGAGAAAGAGGGAGCAGGAAATACAGAGAGAGAGAGAGAGAGAGTAGACTCAGAATCTATTCAGATAAATATTAAGCTTCAAAGATTATTCTGTTAACGGGTTGCCGTGGTTGTCACTACTGAGTGTGAGCGAGAGCGTTACACTTTCAGGTCTGCGCTAAAACTCGCTAGTTTATGCACACGGATGTGAACACATCACTCGGTGAAGTCGGCTTCCTCTTCTCCGCCGCCTCAGAGCCTGACATATCTACCCCCAGGCTGGCAGCAAAAACAAACTCTGTTTTGTAGAAGGGGAAAACACAGCGGATGCTTTGGTATTCTGTATGCTATCCTGTGCTTTTGTCTAACTCTTTACTGTGAGTGTTTACTAGCTTCCACTGCTACCCTGCTGATGTTTACACCATAAACCGGGTATTTCACCTTCAACACCAATATTTTCCCATACAAATATCCACTGTGCAGTATTTCCGATTTCTACTATAGTTTTTTTTCCAGAGTTCAACATTCCATACGTATTCGTCTCCTTTGCTAGAGATAGAAATCGGCCGTAGCACCTTTTGTTCTCTTACCTTAATGCATACGTGTCAAACTCAAGGCACGGGGGCCAAATATGGCTCGCCAAGCCGATTTGTGTGGCCCGCGGGAGCTTAAAAAGCATTTTGTCCGTGCAACAGAGTTTCTTAACCTAAGAAATTAGTTGTTTTTTTTCTAAATGCGTTCCCAAAAAACGAACAATGAACAATATTTTTAGCTTGAATAAATTATAATCAATTGTCTGTTATGGACTAGTTACATCATGCCTTAGTGGTAGGTCTCTGGTTCGAATCCTTTCCAGGAAGTGAACCTAAGGAAAGAAACACATTGGTGGTCTGAATGTTTTGACTTTGATTTTAGTGTAAGTTTAGTGTGAGTTGCTAATAGAAGATACCCACCTTTGTTTTTATCCTTATTGTAAATCACCCTTCACCGCCAGGTGACACAGAATATTTCATCACAGTACAGTACCAAAGTGAAGTGAAGTACAGCTCATACTGGTTGCGTTCAATGACTAAGTGGAGGCGGCAACATTTCTGGTATTAAAATGTCCATCAGCGCGCCATGAGGCCTTTTTTTTCGTAACATACTGTATTTCTATCCTGTCCATTTACAGATGTTGGCCTCAGATGGTGTTCAGCAGAGTCGCCCAGTAACTGTCAACATCCTGGTTCTGGACGCCAATGACAACACGCCCACGTTTGGCAAGGTCTCCTACAGCGTTGAAGTCTTCACAGACATGCAGCCAGGGGAGACAGTACTACAGGTAACCCTTCCTCCCACCTTTTTTTTTCCCTCCCTGCCTTTCTCACCCCTGCTGTGGTGCACTGCTGCACGCGTTCCTCTTTATACCCTTCACATTGGATCCTACAAACGCATTTTTCTCGCCTAAAGCAAATACCCATGACGATCCAAAGCATTACATTGACAGGCCAATCTCTGACACACTTCTATTCATTTTTTCTCCAGTCATGACGGATAAAGCAGACAGAATGTTTATTTTTATATCTCTGTATTTATATGTTTCCTTTTGCAAAGACCAGGGCAGCAGTTGATGTGTTATATCAATTATTTAAAATTGACCGTGGTGGTCTTTTCTGACACTGAAAGGAGGAGATATTTGGACATGTTTCAGACACGTTGATCTCTCTGCAATGTGTGAATGGGAGAACGGATTACTTTAATGTAAAATAATTGCGCTCTACCACGAAGATACAGTACATTTGCATAGAAATGCTGTTTTAAAAATGTAAATCTATAGCTGCGTCAGGTCTCCCTTGTAAATGTCTGCAGTTCCAACACACCGTTGCCTCCTACTTGGCATTCAGCGCATGATCTCATCTTTTCAGCTGATCCGTCTTCTTAGCGCAGCCTCTCCAAAAGAATGTCAAACACTAAAAAGGTCAAGTTTAATCTTTCTTAAAGAACAGCAGTTTAGCCCACACAGAAGCTAGGCCAGGGGTCACAAATTGTCCGCTATTACTCTAAAAGTATTTTTATGATCCATTTATGAAAGCTGCAGGTACTGCTGCTAATTTGATGCCAAGACTTTTACTTTAACCTCAGGAAAGTAGCAACCTGAGCAGTTTGGATTTAAGTCTGGAGACCTAAGGAATATTAAGAACAATGTATCGTGAAAGACTTAAAATCGCAAGATGGAGGATGCAATGAAAGGATTGGATTAAGGGAAATGATGATTTTGAAGGTTATTTTGATAATAATGTTCATTGCATAACCACAATAATAATAATAATTGTTATTATTGTTTGTTATTATTATTAATATGTTGATGATGATTAGTATTAGTATAATATTGTTTTTAACAATAATAAAACAATAATAAAAATAAATATTTATGTCCTATTATTAACAACAACATATAATATAGATATACACTTATATATATTTCATTTTTTTTATTATCAACCAATACCAATAATACCAATATTAAAAATAACAATAACGACAACATATATTACTTATTTTACTATATTTTACTGTAGTTGTTATTAATATTATTCTTGCCATCTGAATTTTTAACAACTCTAATAATATTAATAACGTATGTATATATAATTATTCCTATTTTAAGTATTATAGAAGTATATTTTCGTATTTATGACAATTGATACTGTTTTGACTTTGACCGCTTTGCATTGACTCTGATCCTTACTGATAATTAAAAGCAATAACTGTAGTAGGGAAAAGTCAGGCTGCAGTCTCAGTAGTACGCATGAAGCGCTCTTAGCTAAATGTCAACCATTTGTTTCTGCCCACACATGAAACAAAGGTCATGTGTACAGCAGGCAATAACAGGGTACTAAATATAATCCCAGGTTGAGAGAAACCAATAAGTCACAAACCTTTACTTACAAACATAAACTGTTTCATTTCATCTAATCCCCAAAGGGGCAAAACTACCAATTTATCAAGTGTTGATTAACTGTTATTTTTTGCACGTGTTTTTAGTTAACAGCGGCGGACGCCGACCAGGGACTGAACGGCTTGGTGACATATGAGATCGTCACGGGTGCACAGGGGGATTTCATCATCAATAATCGAACTGGACGCATCACAGTGGCACCTGGTGTAACCTTGACCGTCGGGCGATCGTACGCGCTGACGGTGAAGGCTTCTGACAATGCACCAGAGACACAAAGAAGGTACAGTAGTGTTTTTCCGATGTTTTTGGACAAAACCGTAGATGATTTCACTTTCTGTATCGTAGATGAAATTTATAGCAATATATCAGCTAAGACAGAATCATGTATTTGATGTTATTGTTATCCTTGTGTTAGTATCGTATTGGGAGGTACCTGGTAATATAGGCTTCTTTATTTCAGTATTTGTTTATAATTGTGTAAATTCCGATCTGTGAATCTGTGGTGTAATATTCTACTTGTTCCCTTTTTTTTTTTTTTTTTTTTTTTTCCCCTCGTGTTCTGCTGTGCCACCTGTGAATCCAGTCTCAGGAGATACAGCTGTATTTCTTAGTTTTACTGATGTCCTGTCTGCCGTTACATATTTAATAATCGCACATCTGTGTGTCTATCCCCAAGGTGGTGCTATTACAGTAATTTTAGAAACGACTGTGTATATTTACAGTTAGTAGTGAGGCTGCTGGGCCAATTCTTTTTTTTTTTCCATTCCCTGTGGAAATAAGGCCGGGTTAGAGTCCAGCTTTGAACACAGAGAAAAGTGGTTCAAACTTCTGGGCCCTGATTACATCTTTTGTTCTTTGCCTGTTTTACAAGTTGAATTATGAACTTTTGTTCATGTTTATATCATATTTTAAGAATTGAAGCTGACATTTAAGGTTAGTTTTCTTATTTATATCATTGTATTTTTCTGTGTCTTTGTTAAAGAACTTTTCATTTTAAAACCTAATGGAATTCAAAACAACTGTCTGTTTCCCTACCAAATGTTTAAGGTAGTCCATCCCAACACTGGAACACATGCCTGAACATGTTTTTCTACCCTTAAATTACTCTTTATGGAGGTCAGTCAACTTGTTGGTAACAATTTACTTCTGTTCTCTAAATGCCACACTCCACAAAAAGACTTTGTTCGGTCAACACTCTCAGGTGTGAACTACTGACCAGCATCAGAGGAAATATTCCCTTTAGCAGGGGTTCTTCCAACAATAACCTTGATGAAGTACTCAGGTCCCAGCTAGATTTTTTTTAATTTGTGAAAATTAATATAAATTATGTTTTTGAAGGTTAAATCTGAAAGAAAGATTGATTACAAAGAAAGATCCAAATGTAGCTGTTTTCGAGACTGCAATGCTAACGCTAGAGGTCTAGACCCACCGACGGAGTAATGGGACAATTAAGCCTGTGGTATTATCCACTGACAGCAGGACATTGTTGAAGCACGTACTCTCAGTCAGAGAGAGGTTTAGGTATTCAAATCACGCAGCACAAAGCAGTATTCCATTACATTTTGCATCTAAATGACAAATGTCATCAGTCCTGATTTGAGACGAGAAACATATTTCTGACAATCTGTTAGCAGTTAACAAAAATACGGCTGTTTTTTCGCCGAGTGCTAAAGCTGTGACACGAGATGTTCAATAAATCACCAGCTCTTTAACTTGTCATTTGAAAGCAAAGACAAAGACATTATTCACGGCAAAGGCTGATTTCTTTTCTGTTTTTTTTTTTTTTTTTTAATCTCCTGGATTCCACAGACAAATTCAACAACATACTTGAAGAAGTCATAGCAGTCTACAGCTGCAGGAATATACAGCTCACTAACATTTCCACATATGTCTTAATAGTTCAACAAACAATGTAACGTGAACAAGTAGACAGATTCGAAAAGCGATAATTGATACGTGAGTTGCTCGCTTTGTTACGTGTTCTTTTTTTGGACCTTTCAGAAACACCATAAAAAAGAGATGTAACCTAGTTTCACCACCGCCTCTTTTTTTCTCCAGTGACTCTGCACAAAACCTTTGAAATGGGGTCACGCACCATGATGTCTGCTATGCTTTGTGTGTGTGTATTTCATAAATACGCTCCCAGTGGTTTCCTAGAAGGAAAACTGCTGTTTAGTTAGGAGGACTGATGTGTGACTGTTTCTCTGCCAGGAGTTCCATAACAACAGTTTACATCGAGGTTCTGCCTCCTAACAACCAGAGCCCCCCACGCTTCCCTCTCCTCACCTACAGCGTTGAAGTGAGCGAGGCCATGAGGCTAGGAGCGATTCTGCTTAACCTACAGGTGAGGCGCTAACTCGCAGAAATCTTTGATTACATTCAATATACTGTTTACTTCAGCCCTCCTCCTGTCATTACATTCAATATACTGTTTACTTCAGTCCTCTGTTTCTCTTGCACAACTATTGTATCACTGGCTTTAATCACACTCTATGCTGATGACGCTCTTTGTTTTTCACCTCGTCCAGGCTACAGACAGAGAAAATGACCCAATCACATACCGTATTCTGAGTGGCGATCCCGAAAAGGTCTTCAACCTCACTAGAACGTAAGATTGTGCACTTGTTCAGACACAGCTCCTTGTGCCAAGAGTTGCAGTTCATGGAGTGAATGAAGATTAGCCACAGTTGAAGAGTACAAAACCTGAATCGTTGTGCGCATTAAATACTTTTTTGGGGGTTGAGGGGTTGGATGAAAAATCAAACATTTAACCAGTGCTATGTATAATATTTAATTGTTATGTAATTTTTCGTCAAAACAAGGTTTCAAATTCAAACAAAAAAAGCATGGTAAGGCATGTTTGGTTTCGTGTGGAGGCCAATGTTTTTATTTAACGGCGTTTTTCCATTTTTTCTTTTTTTCCCCCCCCGAAATTATAGCAAACATCATAACAATCAAAAGTAACCACACATTATCGGCAACCAGTTAAGCTTTATAAAAGCTTCAATTTAACACAGTCTGTGTTATTTTCATGTTCTGAAATTCAAGGTACATTTGAAAGGAACTCAATAACAGCACTCAGAGGAGGCAAAGCTGCAGGTTTTAACCTGCTGCAAAAGACATCCCTGATCATTTTACAAAAAGAGAATGATATGATGGAAACCGCTCTCATAGCGAATATGAATTCAAATTAAACTCACCCATGTACTTGATAGACCTTTTAGACTTTATTCTGTTAGAATCAAAGTCTGAATTACCTATTGTTTGTTGTATCCCACTGCGGCCCGGGACCAAATGACCTACAGACCTGCACCGGTCCCCAGACCGGGGGTTGGAGACCCCTTATCTAACACACATAGGAACTTGAGATGGAACGATCCAACTTTTTTATGTCTGACACCGATACTGCAACTTTGAGTGCCGTTCTTCTGGATGTTCTGGACCCTGAAATTTTGACCAGTATTGCTCCAATTCCAATTCTGAGCATTCGATCGAGCCAACCCTAATAAGAACCTAAATATATTTCCTACAGCAGTGATTCATTTCACGATGTTTAGTCATGTGCACAAACCCGTGTGGATTAACAGTCATGATACATTAAGACGCACTGTCTCAGCCGTGATGTTGACAATGCCAGTGAGGAGACGGCGTCACTGTCGTTATTGGCTTCTGTCTTCATAATATTGACTGTCAGAGTGGATGATGATGGTAATGATGATGGTGTTGATGATAGGGGAAAAAGCCTGTTTCGTGATGTGCACCCATGGTGATGCCAAGTACGTGTTGTGTTGCTTGCCAGTTCCCGGATTCTGATGAGTTTTAGCTAAATTACTGCATGTTATTTTTCAACCAAGGCGCTGCTTTTTGGCCAGATACCCGAAGGAGAATCCAATGATCCGAGTAAATAAGAAAACTCATTTGCCTCCTGCTCTTAGTAAATACACCTCCAATATGTCAGGGATAGGGAAACGAATAGTCCCTTCCTCGATGGAGGCTTATCAAGTGAATGACAGTATTAAAATAATCAACTTTAAAAATAAAAATATATGCACCGGTATGTGAAAATCTATCTATCTATCCATCCATCCATCTATCCATCCATCCATCCAATCATCAAGTGGGTAAAAAAACAAAACAAATACACCACTAAAGTCCTGGAAATTATTTTGCATGATATGTAACGTTAATTGGCTATTGTTTTTTTTAAAAGATAAATGCATTAAAATTTTTTTGGACCTTTGCTCCCCTTTCGACCCACACTGAAGTACGCAGCGCACGGTTTGGTGTGGGTACCGTGCATTCCTAAGAATAACAATCAGACGCCTGACTTTTTGCCAGGCCTGGCTAATTAGATCAGTTAGAAGCTCACAGGCATAGCTGCCTCTCCTCAGACGACACACTCTGTGGATATAATCACAGAGAATGAGAATGAGATAGCAGGAGCCTTGCGCCGCTCATCTTTAACCCAGACGGTGTTTATATCTGAAAGCAACAGAAACGTGCCTGTTCCTGTCCAAAAAAGGTCTAATAAGCAAGTGATTGCCATAAAATATTGAAACGGTCAGTGTACAGGACCCAAAAAGAAAGTAGAGAAAAGGAAAACATTCGGAGCATGAAAGTGTAGAACACTGGAAGGCTGTTTTACTAACAAGACGCAGGGAATAAAGTATCTAGTTTCTGTATCTATCTATCCATCCATCCATCAATCCATCCAGCCATCCAGGTTCCAACTCCCCTGAACTCCAACCCCCGCCCTGACCTCCAGCAATCCTAACTTCAATTGCCAGCAAAGCCGCGTGCGGTAACTGCATGCGGTAATAATTAAAATCACGCGTAAATAATTTAGAACAATTTATGAGAAACACGGTAATATTTCAAATGTATCCGAGCCTGTTTGGTTTAATTCATATTTATTCAAACATGTATTAAACTCAAAATATTTATGTAAACTGCCAGCTCTCCATGGGATGGCTGCGGGTGACGGCTTAGACAGCTTTGAAGAATAAACTGAAAATAAACAAGAACCACTGTGGTGCTGGTGCTCGCCTCAAACTCTCTTTAGCAAAACACCAGTGTAATTTACTTCGTAGGAAAGCTCTAACTAATTCATAATGCGTTCCCATTATCGAGGTCCAAAGAGAACTAATGGCACTTTAACCAATTGAAGCAGTTTAGGTTAGGTACAATACAAGGATTACAGTAGTTGTAGTAGTTTTTCCACTGACTACAGCTCAACTTGTAGCTCTACTTAATGGTTCCCAAATCGGGGGGGCGAGCCCTCTGGAGGGCACAAAGAATTGAGGGTGGGGGACAAACAAGCCAAATGAATTTCATTTTTAAATCATGCCACAGTGACAAAATATAATTTCCTTTGACGGTACAAATATCAATTTTTAGGAAGTACAGTGTTTGCGAACAACTGCTTTAAGGCATTTGGCCGCCAAACTTTTGTTTTTGTGTATCCGTTCCTGTCTTTGTGTTTACTTCGTGTTTGTCGTAGATGTTTTATGCATGAAACACTTTGCATTTGTCTGTGCATGAAATTACCCTTCACATCATGATTTTAAAAGACTTTAATCCCATGGCCTAAAAAAAGGGGAAAAAAAGATAAAGAACACCAGTTTACCAACGGATAAAACCTGTATGTTCAGTGTAAGATCAACTCTATGCTATACTGCACCATATTAACAAAGGGATTGATAGCCGGTGTGCACCTCTGTCACTCGAGATGACGTAGCGCTGTGGCTGTGTGGTTCATTGTTGTGGCGGCTACTGGATAGGATGCAGGACACTATCATGCATAAACAGAAAATTATACTCAGTCGCTACTGCAGTTCTCCAGCTGCAGGGAATAATCTGTTGACCTAGAAAAAGTCATATTTGTGACATTGTCTTCTCGGTTGTAATCACCATCGCCATCATCGCTAGTTGAAATGAATCTATCCCAGCAGGTCTTTATTATTATTATGTTTGCAAAGCCCTATTTTCTGTTAGCTTTGTGGAGCACAGCGTGGTCTATTTTCTACTCGTCTGCATATGTATAAATAAACATGAACACAGCAGCCAGTGAAGAATGTGTGTGCTGCATTTTTATCGTGTTTTTGCAGAGATGTGTTTGCCCTCTTGAACCACCCTATCAACAGGTGTGCCCAATTTGAAGCAAGGTTTTTACTGTAACTGAGGGCAAGTTCTTAAAGAAATACACAGTGTTACAGTGGGAGGATTCGCAACCTACACAGGCCGCCACCGGAGGTGCTATTGAGTATGTGGTTGCAACTCACAGGCTGCCCCAGAGGAGCTGGCTCCTTTGGGGCTCGAACATAGGACGCTGTATGTGTAAGGCAGACCATGTTCTCACCTTTTCAGGGTTGGGAAATGGGAATGTTTGGCGATAATCCCAGCATTGCACGAAGCCAGTTTACGCAGCCAATCACGGGGCCACCTGTGCAGCAGTCAACATCAGAGATCGAACCAGTGATGTTTCTTGTGAATGTTTGACTTGAGCCTAGGGAGCAAGATGTCAGTCCAAAATACCATTGGTGTGAGGACACTTTGTCCCCGTGAGGACATTTTGCGGAACTCCATGTCAATGTGTTGTTCCCTTTTTCCATTTGCAGTTCTGTCAGAACCCTCCCTGTGTGCAGCAGTAGAATTGTGTGTGTGTGTGTGTATATGTTCCTGTTAAGTATACCTATTGGGGCATTTTTAAAAAAAATACTACAGTTGTGGGGGTATTTTTGCATTTCCCCTACAGTGAAATGGAATGTTTAGTTTCAGGGTTCAAGAGTTAGGATTATTGTCAGAACAGAGTTGGGGTCAGGATTAAGATTAAATTAGGGATTAAGATTAGGCATACAGTATATATTTCTAACAGATAAGTCAGGGCATGGGGCGAGGCCGTGCATTATGTCCCTTTAAAGTATTCACAAACCAATAGTGTGTTTCCCTCAGTTCCCTTACATTTATCCTTGTGTATTGTGCAGCAGCGTGTGCAAATATTTTACCTTTATGTCGGATTGCATACACACTTTTGTTATGGGTTATTGCTTTTATAAATAACTGCCTGCTGCATTTATTGGAGAGACAGAGTGAACCTGTGTGTTGTCTATCTGCTGTGGGACAAAGAGGTTCAGTAGGAGAAGGACATGGGTTGGTGCCTCTGCGTATTACCGCTGTATACGCTGGCGTTATATGTTTCCTGTCTTTTTGGGTTTAATTAATAACGAGGAGCAGTCTTCTTCTTTACCCTCTATTAAATTCAATATGACATTTTGACAATTCCAATTAAAGACACTTAAGAGCTGGTCAAAAGGAGACAGTAATATGTGTCACGTTTGAGTTATATTAAGATACTGTAATATTGGCTAGGTAATAGTTTTCTGCAACACATCCATCAAGTTGGGAGTCTTGTAATTTAAAGTCAGCCTGACTTAGCATCAAGTGTGACATCAGTCCATGGACACTTTTTCTTCATTCTTACCAGACCCAATCTCTATGTATTTTGTTTGTTTTGTGCATTGTCATCAACAAAGCTATGCATGTACATACTATGTATTGATTGGTGTTTTGTTCCACCTGTTGCAGGATTGGTCTCCTGCTTCTGGATAAGCCATTGGACAGGGAGACCACTGATCAGTATCGCTTGATTGTCACGGCCTCGGACGGAAACCCTGGTGGGGTAAGGCACAGATCATTTGTAAAAAAAAAAAAAAACATTCCTTTGATTAGTGTTTCCCAAACTTTTTTTCTGGGCACCCATATTTTAAAAGTCACAAACCTTCGCGACCCAAATCAATAGACATTATTCGTAAACTCCTGGGAAACATGATGTGAGACAACCCAATAAAAAAAACCATTGCGACCCACCTGAGGGCCGCAACCCAGTCTTCGAAAAACAATGCCTTAGAATAAATCTTTACACAGGAGAACATTAAAGCATAAATTACATCTGTTTACATGGAAATTCCAAGAGAGTACAGAGTGTCCAGGGGTGTAGGTCTGAGCTCGTATACTGTACGTAAGTACCTGTCACTCACCTATACTGGCACAATAGCAGTATCATAATCTAGGACATAAAAACATCAGAAGAGTCTAATCTATGCTTAGAAGCCATAATGAAGCGCAAAAAAGTTCCCACAAAAACAACACAAGCGAAAGAAAATGAATGTAGCACAAGGGAATGTAAACAAAGCTGTCGTCAGCATATAGCATTATGTTAAGGTGATGACGTAGCCATGAAACGCCATAACTCAAGGACGTCGTAAAACAAGAACCTGCTGTATTAAGACCATAAAAAATATTTTCTACTTAGGAAACATTATAGAAGTATCTACGAAGTTTTTAACATAATAAATATTTAGTTTAATCAAAGAGCACAATAACATCAGGCCAAATGATATATTTTTTGCATCATCTTTACGCTGTTTTTATACATTAGCTTAAAAGCCACAGTGGACCTGTTTTGAAAGAAAATGAAAGAGTCAATCTGGTCCACTTTATCACGGTGAGTGGTTAATAGGGCCAGCGCTGAGGGTGGTGGGTAATAAAGTCTTAAGCTGATGCTGTGAGGAAAAAAAACATCTCTCTGAAGCTGCAGAACAAACCGCTGGTTTAGTGGCTGGGAGAATTCCCACATCTTTATTGCCCTTTTACATCTCTTTTTCCCATTTTAAATAGATTTAAATACACAGTGGCAGTTCTGTCTGTTTTGCGTTTTGACATCCCTGGTATTATGTGTACTATACAGTAAATATATATATCCTGTACTTTCCTGTAATTATTGGGCTTTTATGGCTTGTGGCCAACAGTGCCTTTGCCTTTAACCAGTGTCAAAGTCATCTTGGTTCAGGGACCACATACAGTCTCATTAGATGTGAAGTGGGCCGGAAAAGTACAATTATAACATAACTACCTATAGATAACAATAAGTCAGTTTTTTCTATTTTTTCATGTAATGCAGTACAGGTAAGTAAGAAAATTAGAAATCATTAAAAAAAATTACAAAACAAAGCTGAAGCAGATGAAGATAATGAAGTTGGTTTTGCTTTTTCTATTTGCAAAATGTATCAAGTGGGTCGGATTGAACCTCCTAGTGGACCGGTTTTGGCCCCCGGGCTGTATGTTTGGCCATATGTTTGACATCCCATTTGCTGACAAACTGCAAATTATTCCCTGCACACTGGTCGGGTTCAGCCTCAATTTGAATAGCATTTATAGCTAATGGTTTTGGAAATACAAAAAAAAAAAATTGATGTTATTTAATGGTTGACATATTTGCAGTAAAACTAATGCCTCACTGTTGTCAGGCATGTCCTCTCCTAAATTTGGTTCTGATTTCGATGTAGTATCGAGTTGTTTTGTCGAGTCGTCCCAGTGGGAGGTCTTGGCTAACAGATAAATGTCACTGAACACAAAGATCATAATGAGTACACCTTTACAAATTGAGTGACATTCAAACATTTCAGTGCTTCAGGAATTCCCATTTAATGACAGTGGCTCAATCTGAAATTACCGCTCTGCAATAAAGCTTTTTTTTTCCCCCAAATTGACACCTCAAAGCAAGCAATTACTTAGAGCAAAATAAATGGGTAAAATGTTTTTTTTTTATTCCCAAATTTTTGTGTTCACACAGTTGGTTTCATCATTTTTCCTTTCTCCTAACCTTACAAAGGGACATTATACTCCGCTCGGTCCTAGCTCTGTGTTCCTACAGATGAATCACAGTGTTGAATAAAGAGTCACAGTAGCAACTTTGAGCAGGGAAATGTCACTGTGTGCCATTGAGAGTAATGGTAACAACAATAGAAAAACGGATGTTCAATGGCTTCACTGGACTGGTTCTGCTGACAGTGCAGCTCCAGGTAAAACAAAAACACTTCAGGCTTTGCTCCCTTTTTTTGTCTGCACGGTCGATGCATGTTGCAAAAACACGTACATTTTCTTTTTCTTTAAATTGACACGGGGTCCTCGACTTACGTCGAAAGACACTCTTTTAACCATCGTTTATTGGACCCATTTGAATATAATTGCAAGTGGAACCGATCCAAAAACCACAGTAACAGTACAAGCTTGACCCTCTCTTGTTGACTAGCTTTACTTTTAGGACATTCCCTGTGGACACCTTAAATCAGGCATGGGCAAACTAAGGGCCGTGGGCCAGATGTGGCCCGTTCAGCTTTTTAATCCGGCCCGCCAAACTTTTCCAAATTCTACTTCTGCCTTTTCCCTTCAATACCTACATTTCACCAATAGATGGCGTAGAAAATTATAGAAGCATTTCAGCCTTTATGCATGACATTTACATGTCATTTATCTTCACAAATTCACACGAACGCTCCATCTATCTGCTCCTGATCCGGCCCCCTGTTCAATTTTAGGACAATTGTGGCCCCAGAGTCAAAAGTTTTGCCCACGCCTGAGTTAGATGCCCCCAGGCCCATGTTGGTGATGATCTAGGAAATAAAAACATCAGAAGATTCTGACTTACGCCTGGGGATAAATCATTATCAATCAATAAAAAATGAAGAGAAAATTCCCCCGGGCCAAAAAAAAAAAAAAAAACACGAAAGAAAGTGAATGCAGCACAATCCAATGTATGGAATATAATCGACGAATGTAAACAAAGCCATCTTGTCCGCTCCACCCGTCAGCTGGTTCCTGTGCGAAATTCGTTTTAACGCCGTACGTCAGAATGATGGAACAAGACTTGCCTAACATTGTAACCGAGGTACAAGGTCCCAGAATGATGGAACAAGACTTGCCTAACGTTGTAACCGAGGGTGTCGTAAATCGAGGACCTTGTATTTCTGAGCAAAAGGTTCACCTTTCTTTTCAAACAAAAACAATTTTCTTAAATGCCTTTTCTTAACATCTGAAGATATTATTTAGAAACCAAATGCCCACTGTTTTTATACACTGCCTGCAGAGCCGCATGTGGCCTTGGGTGGACCTTTGTCGGCCTGAGCCCTCTAACCTGGCATTCCAGACCACCAAGTAAGAAGTGATTTATTTTCCAGTACCTGAATGTGAGGCAGTCTGGAGTCTCACTGTGGAGCCTGACATTTTTCATTTCAACGCTTCATTCTCTACGTTGGGTAAACATATCAGGACTCAGAGGCCTGTCTGACTTCACAAGGGTAGAAGTTTTAATTTTGCAGCAAGGGACTCAAGTTACGCACAGTGCCTGTGATGTAAAGTTCCAAGATACAGAGTTATAGGAGGGTTTTTATATAGAGCAGAGTGGGTGGAGGCTTGCACGCAGCGACGATGAGTTAGTTCTTGTAACCAAGACGGTTCTCTGTTTCCCAGACATGAAATGAAGGTTGCGAGGTGTGATTATGGAACGTGTCAAAATAAAAATCGAGCTCCTCGATTTACGACGTCCTCGATTACAACGTTAGGAAAGTCTTGTTTATTCTGACGTACAACGTTAAAACGAATTTTGCACAGGAACTAGCTGACGGGTGGAGCGGACAAGATGGCTTTGTTTACATTCGTCGATTATATTCCATACATTGGATTGTGCTGCATTCACTTTCTTTCGTGTTTTTTTCTTCTTCTTTTTTTTTGGCCGGGGGAATTTTCTCTTCATTTTTGATTGATTGATACTGATTTATCCCCAGGCGTAAGTCAGAATCTTGTTTTTGTTTCCTAGATCATCACCAACATGGTGCCTGGGGGCATCTAACTCAGGCGTGGGCAAACCTTT